ACCGACTCCTGTATCTTATTGTCATTACTGTCCCGTCGGTCGGCTTTCTTTCGCTTGTTTTCTTCGATTGTAATTCTTCTCAATTCCTTCTGCTCTTTGTTTTGTATGAATTCCTTATGAAATACAATGTTTTGACAAATATTGAGTACAATTTAAACATTAATCAGTGTTACCTTTCTCATTCCAGCAGCAAGGCACTTTTCGAAACGACACTTTTTGCAAAGTTTTCGGGTTTTCACTTCAATCACACATTTGTCCTCTAAATAACAAACCTGATGTAAACAAATAGCTATTAATTAATAGCCATTTATTTGATTTCATTTGAATACCACATCTTTGATTGCGTTTCGTCTGAAGAAAGCTTTACACGACACGCAAGTGATTGCACCAAAATTTCTCCCTGATACAAAATTAAAATTTATTATTATTCTCTAGTCAATTATACAATATTATTATACTAAAATTTGTATTAATTTTTACAATTCATTTCATACCGACAGCGCTATCGCCACATATTTCGCACCATTTATCTGACGTCTTTTTACTCATTATTATATAAATTATTATTTATTATTTTCAGCTTTTAATTTATTAATTATGTAATCAAATGTTTATATTTTTGTTTATAAGATATTCAGCACAAAATATAGTTATATAATATAATCATTTACTGGAAGCCATTTAATTGTAAATACGTTTACTTTTTATATTAATTCAACTCTATTTATTAAACATTTTTAATCAAACAAGAGCAATTCCAGTACATTCACAATAAAACTGTAGATAATTTCACTGGTTGCCGTTGATCACACTAAATGTCATAAACTATGCCATTTACATTGTAACCAAGTAAAACATATGTACAATAACTTCAAACATTTATCAAAATGCAATATCTTAACTTTTTACTATATACAGTATCTATGAATTTAGTTAGCATTTTTTAAAATTCATAAGTTGCATCGTGTTTATTTATATAAAAAATAATATTTGACACTTATCTATATTAAAATATTTAGAGTATAATGTAATAAATATATAATACAAGTGATTAAAAACCTATTGTTTTGTCTATCGATTTTTAAACCTTGTTATCAAAATAGTGACTGTGATTAGAAAATTTCATTATTTTTGTTTCGATAATCATTCGTGCTTAAGAATATTATGAGATAATTTTTGTTACACGTTGTTGCACCATGCACCATTATGCAACTATTTGAGATGATGACATATTAAAGTATAATTTCTATTTTTAAATTCCCAAATATTACAAATAAATTTTTCTCATAATTTGTTAATTTATTAATCTAGTTGTGAGTTTTGATAGTTTTATCAGAGTAGCAGTATCACGATATCACACAAATTAACTTATTTCTTATTTAGAAATCACGTACATAAATATACAATAATAATAATAGTATATCTGTGGTATTTATTCAAAATCAGGTTTATATATAGGATATGTATTTTAATATTTTTCATTACTTTGAATCATACTTTACTCGATTCATATCCTATATATAAACCTGAATTTGAATAAATACCACAGATATATTAATACTAATATTATAAATAGTATGTTTGGACTCCACACATGGAGGTTTAAAAAAGTGGAATATAAAAAATATTTAAACAATTTTTGTATCTACATTTAAACAGGACACATTTAAAAGTTATTGATTGACATCCACTTACATAATATGTAATATTACATAAATATTACATCCACTTACATAATATTATATATGATATCAAAATTATATAGTTCTGTAATTAAATATTCATAAACATACAAGTAAATTGATATACATTTTTATTTTTCAGTCAGCCACTGTTTTATTTCATACACAATACATTCATTACAAGTTTATGTCTTGAAATCTTATGAAATAGATCATAAATGTTTCAATAATTTCAATCTATTAATATTTAGTGGTATAATATCTAGTATAATATTTAAACAAAATATTTTTCAATACAACATTAATAGTAAAAGCATACATATGTACAGTATTATACTACCAGTAATGCATACCCTGAGCATAACTTTTATTAAAATCTAATATTTTATGTCTACGTTTGAATTGATCATTATAATGATTATATGCAATACCAGGGTTACTATGATATTTGTGTTNTGTCTACGTTTGAATTGATCATTATAATGATTATATGCAATACCAGGGTTACTATGATATTTGTGTTGAAATATTTCGACCACAATCTCCGCAAACAATACAAATAATATAAAAATGACAGAATAAATGCATACATAAAATAAAGGCATAACATCCTCAAGTAATCCAGTAGTATCAGGGACATTATTGTTAATTTTAAACACATTATAATAACAATGTCTTTCGTTGCCTTTCATCAACTTAACCTGGTCACCTATAGCCCGATGCTTCCACACGTCTATGATTCCCATACTTCTCGCGGTTATTATTCTGTAGTTATTATATAAGAATATTCTGTAGTATTTTTAAAATCATATAAAAATTATCTCACATTTTGTTGATCTTATTGATAATGTTTGAGTCGAAATCCAATTTGAAAGCCATAGCCATGTCTGAAGGCATCGCGAAATTAGTGGATATGAATAAATTAAGTTTGGGATCCGTTTGGCAATAGTTGATAACTTTGAGAAGCATTCCCATATACGCCGAGATATACACACGCTTTTTAACACTAATCTCACCCATAAAAGCCTGACTCCGAGAATAAGTCGATCCAATTATACCCTGATTATTATGGTCAACAATTCGCCTCCAGATCTCCCTTTCCATCGTATCGTTTTGGTTCTGCAAACAAATATTTATTTTGAAACACTATTCAATTTTATTTGTCATTATTTTCTAGTAATTAGTAACGGATTACATTGAAATAGTAATTAAAAGCGCCCCCTTTATTAACACTGGGAATAATGTCTACATTTTCGATGATATCTTCAAGCGAGTCGATCACATCCTCGGCCTGATTAGTGATCATATAAGCGCCGATCACTTTGTTGATGTCAATCCAGAACATAACCATCAGAATCGAGTATATGATTAACACGAATGTCTCCATTGATAGACTCAGGTATTTATCAATCGCTAATTAACATGACAAATAAATTACAAATTAATTGACTGTTTATTGGACTCACGTTTATAGCAGAAAGCCTTCAAAACCATCCAAAATGCTCTGAAATAAGTGACTCTTAAGCCGAGGGACAGGACGAGCGCCACGGATAACGTGGATGTGATGAGTGCTAAA